AAAAAAAATTATTAAGTACAATTTTTTTAAAAAAAATTTTTTTAAGTGTCCGCAATAATATGTCCACCCTCTGTACATTCGCTGCAGTTGTCAACTTGTCATTATCTGGAAATGCCTTAGAAGCTTCTTTAACAGCTGCTATCAACTGATTTTTCAGACTGGAATAGTTAGTGAATATATAATAGCCAAAGGTGGCTCCCGCATTTGTATCAGATGAAATCGGTTGTTCTTGTTATATGAAGAGAGTTGTAATGACAAATAATAAGTAATAATACTTATTAGAAAAATTTACCGTCTAAGTTCAGATATACATACCAGCAAGGAACGTCGCAATAGGCCTTAGAACACCATGCATCAATGCCGGCATCCCTCCAATCACTAACTCTCTTTTCTCCTTTTCTTTCTTGTTATCTGTTCTCCAAGTATATTGCAGCAAAATCATAAGGTAAGAATATGCAGCATTGAATGCATTGGCGGTAGCGATTATTTTTGAATCAGTGTAGGATCTATTATATGTGATAGTAGGAATACGCCAAAGTGCGAGTAAAGTAAATACCAATTTACATAATAAATATACAGTATATACCTAATAAAAGAAGAGAAAAAATTGCATTCTCGGAGAAATAAATCATTCACTTACGATAAATTTGGATCATCAATAACGGGCCAAAGCTGATATTCAGACTCACTTGCATATTCGGCATATATTTTACAAATTCTGAATGTATTATAGTGAGAGTTTTCTTCAATGTTTCCGCCAGTAAGTAATGTGTTGAAACTTTTTTCAAAGTTGATTCCTTCTCCTATATTTTCAAATTTTACTTTAAACTTTCCTTCTTCAATGATTCGTTCGATGATTCGATCTCCTTCTGATTCAAAACTGGTGACTACTTTGATTATTCCTTCTATAATTTTTCCATCTATAATTGTCCCAAAAGTTGGATCTTCTTTGATTTCTCCTTGAATTTTTGCTTTTTCAATCGTTCCCTTGATTTTTCCAATTTCTCCGCTACTGGTTTTTGTTACAGATCCATCAACATTTCCTTCGATGACTCCTTCTACACCACCTTTAGCTTTAGTTTCACCTCTAATTGTCCCAACAATATTTCCTTGGATTTTTCCATATCAGCTTGGCGTGGTTTTCCTTCACCCTGTGCAAATAAAATAAAAAATCACAAATTACATCGTTACTCAAAATTCTTTCAACACATTTGTTAACTGATTAATGCTAAAACCTGATCAATAATCAATTTTATTGCACATTCAGCCTCGCTAATGTCTTTAACAACAATCAGTCCATCACTTCCTGTTCCTGTACTCGGAGCGTAACCCATTCCAGGTTCAAGCTGTATCCAGAGCAAATAAGTTACGTGTCACTAATGATTCGTCTTTTTGTAGAGGGCTTGGAATAAACAACGCATTTACCTGATATTGCGTATCATATGGAATTTCTCCTTTTTTGTCAAGTTTATCGAAGAGGTCCATGATCAATTGGTAAAGTTCCCCTATGCTATTAAAATTAATCGAGGGATCTGTAGAATACAAACAAAATTGAGAAATCGAAAGCATTATCGAATGCCTAGAACATGTATGTTGTTAATATACCAGGAAGTCCAGGGTGATTAGGAGGAGTGCGGTTAACAGGTGAATGAGGTTCCTCGATTTTCATAAATGTATCGAAATTTTTTTTATCAGCTTTTGACAAATGGATCATAAGTAAACCTAAATTGGGACATTTCAATTGTATTATTAAATAAAATTTCATCTTGATATTGGTGAATATATTTAAACCAATTTTATCTTAATAAGATTTTACCTTCTTTAAAGTGGGGAAGAGGATTCGGATAAAAAGGGATTACATCCGGGGAATAAAATATAGGCTTGTGTCCTTTAAATTCGAGATAAAAAATCGATCGTGATAATTAATTAAACTTATATACTAAAATAATAATAATAATAAATTTTCAAACATACCAATTGCAGTGATAAGGTTTGCTACAAGGGATGCATGTAACATCTCCTCTGCAGCAACGTGACGAATTTTATACATAATAGCGTCAGCGGCGTCACCGATATTATTTTTCGGTTTAATAGAGTACATAGCATAGAGGTATGGTGGGATAGTGCTAAGTTCAACCTGTAATGCGATATTAAGTATACCATAAAGCTATTGAACGAATGTAAAAGATAAACATGTTAATATAACGAGCAACGAGTGATGAGTATGTATTGTAAGGCAACTCACGTTATCTAGTGTATAAAAGTCACTTGTGATATTACCGATGCTGAGTTCGTAAATTTTTCCGCGTTCGACCTCAACGAATGCATTAGTGTTTTTATCAGGAATTTGCTTCTCTACAATAAATCCCAACCTGCATAATTCAATGAACACCGTAAAATCCTTACATAAGCATACGTTGCAGATTGAGAATACTTATATATGACCACATACATATTCCATGATCTAACCATATCCATATCACCCCACTGAGGCACACCTTCGTTTGGATCATCGCTTCTGAAGCCTCGAGTCCAGTCCACAAAGTTCAACTCCCTTATATTTTCCTACATTTAAATAAAAGCCATCAGTTTACGTTTCAAGCCAAATAAATTACATAAAAGACTTGGTATGAAAAACGAATTTGAAATTTCTCAATGTTAAGTAATTTAATAGTATGAAATAAGTAATTGAATAACATGCAGGCAATCGAAAAATAGTTCCTAGCGTGAATAGTGTGATGTTGGCTCTTCTTTTTAACGAAAGTAATGTTTTCTCAAGGTAATGACTTTCTATATATTGTCTATGATATGCTTCTTCTTACCTCTGGGATCGCAATATCAGGTCTTTGAGCTGGCCACCAATTTGTGCTGCATTCGTTAAAATCGGCTTGCCAAGGTAAGGCCATGTATGCATTGATATCTCCAGGTTGAATCACGTCTGAATTTATCCTTCGAGCAAAGATATGTCAATGACAAGAAAATTACGTGTATAATGTTTGTAATATTCTATACCTAAAGTCAAATTCAGTATGAAATGTATTCTTGTCATAAGCCAAATAAGTCATTTCAATTCCGGGATAGAATGGACCTCCGACACACCACTCAAGTGCAGCCTTGTTGAGAAGCTTCACTTGTAGATCGAGGTTAGGGCACATTTCCTGAAAACTATATGTTTTCCCGTCATCTTTTGAATATGTAGGTTTTCGTAAATCATGATCCACAGTATCATTACTGTGTAGTCTGGTAGTTTGATTCCCGGCACAAATCGCCCTTCCGCCCATTTCTGTAATAAACTTATAAGAAAGAATTAATGTCAACTCAAAATTAAATGATTCAAAAATTGATGTATGATTACTTACAAGTATTGACCACGAGTAACGGTTAAATACGTATCCGGATCACCAGGGTTTAAATCTCCATTGTTTCCAGATAATGGTGGCATGAAGTAATTATAAGCTTGTCCATTGTATTCAAATAAAGTTGCGAGCTCTGCAGGTATTCGAACACGAAATAAAATGCTTCTCCTATTTTATTAACACATTTTTAAGTAAAATGCATATCAAGACTTTTTAGTAAATAAAACAAACTGACCTCAAATCTTTATTGTTATCTCCGTTATCACATAATTTTCTCTCTAGTACGGGATCTAGAAAGTTACCCGGTTTATCTAGACCATGACCCTTTTGGGCCATCTCATTGACCCAAGAATTTTTACAGATAGATTCAAAAATTGGGCGAATATCGCGATAATATTGCACCTGCATAATTAATCAGATTGCAGAAACGTGGATTAATTCTCCTTACAGAAAAACAAGTTTCTTATCCACATAAACAGTTTAAATACCTCATTGCGCATACGTTCTGGTATTACGAGATCAATTACTGGATTTTCTGGATCAACGGGATGCTGCGTTTCCAAGATAGTTTGATATAACGATACAATATTGGGAATACTTGGCGCATACTTTGGAGGTACGTACACGTTGTTAATAACCCATAGTGGAATTATATTGGGACTATAAATGAAATTACCTCTGTTTGTGAGTTGCCTAGTTATTCTGTCATTAGTAATGTTAACAATAGCATCTACGGAACCATCAGAAGTGTCATCATACCAATAGTCATTATTCACGTAATCTGTAATAAAAGCTGTAAGATATAAAAACGTGAGTAATTATCCAAGTAAATTATACGCAAATATAAAGCAAAGGTATACTTACTATCTTTAATACTTCCAGATTCTCCCTTCCCACCAATAATTAGCAAGCTTCCCTCTTTCTCCATTATAATCTTGCCCAAGTATAACTCATGTCAGCCTTCATCCTTATCATTGCGATAAACTTGCGCCTTTAATTCTACAGCTGATGAGTTTAATCCAGATGTTAAGCTTTCCTCTCTGACGGCCATTAATGTAGGTCTCTTATAAGGCCAATCTTAAGTTTGAGTGTTTCTAGTTAATATCTGCACATTACTACCTTAAAATTTTACAAAAGTTGCGTACCGGCATTTCGTATAGGACCTTTTTGATCCTGATTCTTGATACCGAAGAATCCCATGTGTGCTGCCTTCTTATTGGCAAGCTTTACAGTCCATGTAATTTCCACACCATTTCCAGGCCTGATCTCGCCCTTATTCTCATCATTTTTGAAACCATAGATCCTAAACCTTGCGGCCTGCGGTTTTATCTTACCATTAATTTTAAAGCTGAAGCTAGGATAACCCTCTATATTGTAGAATATTGTATTAAAGGAAAATTTGAGACTGTTGTGAATAGTGCCATATCTGTGACCATAAAGTACCGTCGATCAGTTTAAAATTACTTCCTACATACACTCCAGGAAGTTCGGAACCAACATAATAATAATTGACACCATCCTCTTCAGTTGCATTGCCAACGCGCGCAACGTTAAGAGCTGGATATATTGCAAAGCTATCGTAATCAATAGTTGCCATTATGAAGTGTGAGGAATCGTGTGGTGCAAATTGGTGAGAATATGTACTGGAACGTGCATTAATAGTATGTTGACGTGATAATAAAAACAAATGGAATGCCGCAATGCAATTTATCCATAAAAATAAGTTGATATAACATTAGAAGTGTGTATACATACCGGGGGGTGACAGAATATTAGGAAATTTTACTTTATACGGCAAATAAATAGAAAAAACTTTATTTTTAACTATATGACTTATAAATATACATGCTAATACTTCGTATGACCCCCATCGGCATTAATAACAGCTTGAATTCGCCGGGGCATTGACTTTATTAGATCACGGTAATACAAATGATTTACCGCATTCCATTCCTCTTTGATCATCTGCTCTAACTCTCGAATACTGGATGGTTGTGGGTGGCATTTACGAAGTTTTGATTCAACCATAGACCAGATATTCTCAATTGGATTGAGATCTGGAATTTGGGGAGGCCAGGGAAGTAGTTTTATATGTTGGGAAGTGAGAAAATCCCAGGCAACTTTAGCAGTATGAACAGGTGCATTATCCTCCTGAAAAGGGAATTTTTTTTACATTGCCGAGCATGTGCTTTAAGTGTAGGGATAGCATAATTTTCCAAGGTGTGTTTGTGTACTACTGCATTAACAGAACCAACTAATGGAATAATAGGACCCAAGCCTTGCCATGAAAAACATGCCCAAAACATGCAAGAATCACTATGCTTTACTGTTGTGGCAATACAATCTTCATGAAATTCTTCACCCGGTTCTCTCCAAATCCGATCCCATCCAGACTTTTGAAATTGAGAAAAAGTAGATTCATCAGTCCACAATACTTTTTTCCAATCCTCTACTGTCCAATCATTCCGTTCTAAAGCCCAGTTTAAACGTTTGATCTTGTTTGTTGCTGAAATGAGTGGTTTTTTTCGTGGATGACAAGAATGAATATTTTCTTTATGAAGGGCTCGTTGAATAGTATGTTCTGAAACCTTTTGTCCATTATTAAGTGTAGTAAACATTTTAGTCACCTCACTAAGATTTTGATGTCGAGAATCTTTATTTTCAAGTAATTTGTTCTTAAGCATTTGTCTCTTTGGTGCATCAATAATGCATTGACGACCTGTTCTTTTTGAAAGAAGCTGATTAAATTTATGGGCCATAAGAACATGTGTTATAGTTGAATTAGAATGGCCAACAATTTTGGCAATCTCTATATTTTTGTGCCCGAACATCTTTGCAGTTATGATTCCTCCTTTTTTTGCTTGAGTAAGATCTTTCGCATGACCCATAATTGCGGTAAATCAGAAAATCGCGTTTTTTAAAAAATTGATTTTTTTAGTGTTTTTATTGCTTAAAAAGTATAAATAAAAACATCACACATTAAGAAATTGGCACAATATTACTATATATACATTATTAATCATTTATTAATCGGTTTTTTAAGTTTACTTAAGATATAATTTTCAAAATTTCCTAATATTCTGTCCCCCCCAGTAGATTATCTAAATCAGATACGGTGCAAGAGAAAAATTTGTATTTTAGGTATATTGAAAAGTACAAAATTTATTTTTGTGCATTTTTACAGTATCTGTGTAGAAAATTCTTCATGTAAAAGTGGAAATAACTTGGGATCTGCTAAACTTATAATAAAAAAAGGTATACGCCATATTTTTTGTAGTTTCATGAAGCAGATCTTACAATCATCAGATCGTACCTTGTGGAATGAAAATATTTAATAGCAAAACTTTATTGAATATATAAATTTGAATAAAAAAAAAGAAGAAATAATAGTAGCAATGTATAATCAACAGACCAACTATATTTTGTGATGTAGCTTTATTAAATCTACTTCTAATGAGAATTCGATTATCTAAATATTAAATACTTTATCTCCACTCCGTGAGACCTTCTATGTAAGTAATAATTAGAGTCTCAAATTTTGTTCTTTTCGGTTGAGTGGTAGAATCTAGAGAAGTTATAAGTGTCTCTTAATCTGTTTATTTCTAGTGTTAGCTAGGAAAAATGTGTGGGTTGGTTAAGATCATATATAGTCACGTGATATAGCGCGATGCTGCATCAGGAAGAAAAAATATCTTAAAGAAGAATCTGCATAATGCGACGATAAATTAGCATACGCGTCACAATAAATATAAATAGAAGTAGAATTAGCTAGTAAGAATAGAGAGTAAATATCGCTTATTAAATAATTAAGAACCATTTGCACTTGTGCTACTAAATTTATACACTTGTGTAAAAGGGAAATTGCATGGTCACATGAGTCTATGCAATGATGATCCCAAAAATGACAAATCTGAGAAAAATGAGA